AAAAAAAAAAAAAAAAAAAAAAAAAAAAAAGCCATTAGTACATATAAACTTTAAAATCAATTTATCAGCTTTAAGTTAACCCGTGTCTATTAATTTAGTTCCCATTTTAGCCAAACTATAACTATTCTACGAGTAAGAAAAGACTGACTCATTTTGTAATGAACTAAAGGCCATTTCAGCTCGAGCGCCATTTTGAGATCACATTAGCCGCCCTTTGTTCGTCGGTCGGGAGATGTGTCGAGTCACTGCTGTATTCAACTAGTAGACAATACCGCATTTTAATGATCGAAAAACTACAAGCTACCCAGTAAAAAGTCAAAATGGCCTACATAAAACGTAATTAAGCCACACAATAATTTACTTCTGCCTCGTATCTAACGTTAATTCAGTTATACAAAGCGTAAAATCCTATACGTACCAAAAAAAAACTTGTCTAAAACTCCAGTTTAGTTTAAAATATAAAATTTGGTAAAAATAACACTTGTATTAAAACACTCACAAATTGACGACGCTTCCARGAACTTCTTACAACTTCTATCTCTCGACGACGGGTGCAAGTCTGCAATGCGTAAGGCGAGACGGTCTTATATAGTGCTGAGATAGGTTAATATCCTTCCGCACAAAAACGTAGTTCCAAACACCCACACAAAAACCGTCCATTTAATTTAAATCGATTGTAAAGGAATTGCATACATCTAAATACCAAATTTGCATTTGTACGCTTGTTGTAAAAAAATGAATAAATCGTGCTTTTTTTTTTTGATGAAACCAACAAAATATCGGCGGCGGAATGATAATTTAGCTGCACTACGGTCTGGCTTTAGAATTTACCAGAACCCGCACAGCAACAGGAACCTTCTCCGCACTTCTGATTGGCTAACGCGGTTGTTTGTTCGAACAGCGATTGGTTGTTGAGTCACAGGAAGTAATGCGTGAGTAATGCGTGACTATGACTAAGCTTTTCTTCTTTTCATACAAGAGACATTTTAAAACATTTGTTATCCAGTCTTTAACTAAAAACTATCTGTAACTAACGAATCTCATCTATAATGATTGTTAAGGACTTGTTTATCTGTTTTACTACATCAAACAGTGTTTTTATGTGTGTATGTAGACTGAATGACTTTGCACTTTTTAGGCTGTCAAACTATCTTGTAGATCTTGCTCAGCAAAGCAAATGAGCTGGGTAAAAAAAAAAAAGTAAAACCTGGGCTGCCAGGTTTTACTTTTTTTAACTTCTTGCCTAACATTTATTTTAATGAATTAAAACTGTAGATAATAAAATAATCTTACATTTTAAAGCACATTCTCTTAACAGAACTGAATATTTAAAAGAGAAAATTTAATGACATTTTAAAATCTTATTTTAAAATTGACATCTGTATCACCACTGAAAATATCTTAAGTCAGACAAGTTATTTTCCCCAATTCTCTTTATCTAAAAACACTGTAGACTGCCAAGTTTAGTCCTGAGTTTAGAGATAATGAAGACATCAGGACACAAACATTTTGTTTTCTCACAAAACAGATGCAAATTTTTATCTCTTAAAATAAACTTAAAGTGCATCAGACATTTATTTTCTTCCTTACTTACTTAATTCTTTATTGCGTAATTCTAAATATTAATAAACCTGGAAGAAATCAGAAATGTTGGATTGGTTTTGTATGATTTCAAATTCTAACCACTTGTGAAAATCTCATATAAATCCCTATAAATATACACTGGAGTAACTCGGTTATTTTTATTTGCWGATTTTTTTTTAAACTCTCTTCAATGTGATTATTCATCAAGAGCTTCTGAAAAAGAAAAAAAAAAGAAACATGGTAAAAATAGAGACGAAACCAGTGCCCATTTTCAGCTCTGACTAAATTAAAACAAGGAGAAGTGGTCTCTATTTTTGGGTCCCAGATATGACCCGGCCCTGAGAGTCCTAAGATATGTATCTGGGTCACAGTATTCCCTGGACCCCACCCGTCCAGCTCCCTGTTACATGACACCAAACTCGTGATGCACCACGTCAGTTCTGTTCAACACGGAGCCGGTTGATCCACATCTAAAGAACGTGTTTGTGCAACTTCGCTGCTCCCTGCCCTGCTTTAGCTGAGGAAAAAAYAACTCAAAATGTTTCAGGGAAGCAGCTTCTCAAGTTCTTTGAGCTCTAACAGAGCTGATTATCATACAAAGTGTTCCCAGCTGAAATGATCTACTCAGCAGCAAACAGAATTAGCAGAAACTTCCTTGTTACTGCGTCACTTATCAGTGGTGGACTTTGATTGGGTTCATGATGACTTAGTACTTTCTGTGCGAGACAACCAGTTCCAAGTCAAAAGGCTTCATAAACACGTTGCTCAAGTTTCCTCTCCACTTTCTAGAAAGGTACAGAGGCTCCCAGAAAACTTCGATCCAAACATTAATGTAATTCACTGACGTTTTTATTTTATTTACAGAATGGAGCTTGTGAAACATTCGGGTGGCTGCCACTGTGGGGCTGTTAGATTTGAAGTCTGGAGCTCACCTGACCTCCTTGTTTTTCACTGCAAGTGTGTATGACCTTATGACACAAACACCCTGATCTTACGGGCGTTTTGTAAATCCGAAATTGGATAAAATGCATTTTTGCAAGGGTAAATGATTAACAAAACGTTTGTTTGTTTCCCCATAGCTGTAGCATTTGCACCAAGAAACAAAACCATCATTTCATTGTCCCAAAAAGTCGCTTTACACTCCTACAGGTAAGAAACTCACCCTGAAATGTAATGTTTATTTTACAAACAACTACAACAGATTAACCTTTCAAACCAATTCAAGATGGCTGTCACAGCCAACTGAACTTAAAAATACAAAAATAGCAACAAAGTCATTTTTAAAGATATTGACTTAAGAGCTGGTGTGGTAGTTGCAGTGACTTTGCCCAAGATCTTTGTTTAAAATAATGGCAATAACTATTTCGAGTCAACTCTGTCTGTTAGCAAAACATCCCATGAATCACTGAACAGTTTTTGGTAAAAACACTGAAAATATTCATTGAACGTAGGTTGACAGCTGAGTGTCGGAGTCAATCTAATTCAAAATGGATGCCACAGCCAGCTAAAACAAACAAAAAAATGGCCAAAATGTCACACATTTCACAAGAATTGAACTAAAACCTGGTGCTGAGAGTCACTGACAAAACAAACTTCAAGTGGTAATTATAACATTTTTTTGTTAGAAATTCCATTATTAATTGTTGGAGTCCACCCTGATTGTTAGCAAAACTTCTCAAGAATCATTGGACAGATTTTAATGAAACCTTCAGAAAGTGATGAGATGTACACATTGAGGTATATTGACTGGAGGCGTCATGATTCTAGTTAGCTAGAACTGACTGCTGTGGTCTGAGCACGACGCCTTAGTCGTGTCCTTGGGCAAGACATTTCACCCGCCTTGCCTGGTGGTGGTGGTCAGAGAGCCCGGCAGYGCCCCAGGACAGCTGTGGCTACAATGCAGCTTACCACCATCAGTGTGGGAACCGCTTTGGAGTCCTTGGACTTGTTAAAGTGCAATAAGTTTAGACCATTTCCATTTCCCTGACGTGCTAATCTATATTTAACAGCTCATGGTGACCACATTGTTGTACCAGCTCGTCTCCACACTGTGGCTAAGAGAAAAGTAACGTGATAGCGCTTCTAGTCAATATACTGTACCTCCACGGGTGTACGTTTACAACTGACTCATGTATGAAGTCAATCCCTTTCAAGATGGCTGCCACAGCTAGTCAACACTAGCCATCCCAAAAATGTCTATAACTCAGGCAATAATTCAGATATTGTGCTAAAATATAGTGAGGTAGACGCTCCCTGACGCATTGTTTAAACACGATATCTCAGTGTGAGGTTGTTCCTAACATTGTCAATGTTTGATCGAAACAGATACAGCTGATCTGGGTATGAAACTCTGACGTGAAAGGAATTGGAATGCTAACCGGTTTCTTCTTTCCTTTGTCTCGCCAGGGCATGGACAACCTGACCACATACACCTTTAACACTCACGTGGCTAAACACACCTTCTGYAAAACCTGTGGAGTTCAGAGTTTCTACACTCCACGATCCAACCCCGATGGATACGGTACGACACCCCCCAAACCCCATCAAGTCCCTACTGACGAGACATTTACACCAATCTTATAGGGTGTAAACGTGTTACACATAACAGCTGAGTTGATTCCAATGAATCCTGATGCATTTACACCGAACTCACTGAACCAGTTTGGTTTCTTCTTCCCTGTTGTGAGGGTATTTGACGTGATGTGTTAAAACACGAAGCTGGAAACCACCTCTGTTATTACAGCACTCCCAGAACCAAGCTAAAATACGCGGAAGGCAGTTTTTATTTTTAATTTTTTTACTYGATAAGATGCAAATCAACAACATMTCTCGTTTCTCTGGCGGTTGATTGAATTTTTCTCCCCAGGCGTTGCTCCTCACTGTCTGGATCCAGGTTCTGTGCGCAGCGTGACAGTGGAGACATTTTGCGGGGAAAAGTGGGAGGAAAGCATGAAATCTCACAGGAGCATCAGAGACATGTCTAAACCTGAGGACGACGTCTAAAAATAACACCAGCTGTGATAAAAAGCTCTCCTTTAATGAGCATTTCTTTAGAAAAATACACAAAATACACAGTAACAATCTATAATAGTGATTTTACAGTGTTCTGACCTGAAAAAAATAAAGTCACAAAAAGAGAAGGCATTATTCGTTTTACTAAACTATAGCTTTGTTAAAGTGCCTGTGACATGCATATTCTTTAAATATAAAAAGTCAAAGAAAACATCATATATAAGAAACTTGGAATAAGACATGATTGTATCTATTTTGTCACATAACTGGCCAATCTTTAAACTTGGCTCAAAGTCAAACAGGAAGTGACATCAAAGGGGAACTCTTTAAGAAAGAAAACTCTTTGGTGTTTGTTTCATTGAAACAATATTATCTGAAGTCTGTCTCTTCACCTCTCTCTGACAGACTCAATATAATCTAAAGAAACATCWGATTCTTCTCTATAGGCTGTGTTGTCAGCAGTTGTAGCAATGTTCACATGCAGACATTCCCCTTTGACATCACTTCCTGTTACTTCCCATGCAAAAACCTCAACAACTGTTCATCTCAACAGCATTAATTAAAAAAATTGCAATGTTATTAATGCTATCTTTCCAAAAATGCATTCATATTTATTACAATAATGTGATGCCACAGGCACTTTAAAAGAAAGTGTGCTTAAAAATATTTAGAGTTTTATAAAGCACGCTAAAATTTTGTCAAACTGCAAAGTTTTAATAAAACTTGAGGCTCTTCAGTTCTTGTGGAATCAGTTGGAAYGTGTTTATGAACATGTACCGGGAGAAGGCGATGTAGAGGTACCGAAACCACAACAGCTGGGAGCGATGACACATCATGGCGTCCTGAGACAGAGAGAGAGAGAGAAAAAAAGGAATTAAGGAAAAAAACTTAGCATGACGGGAAGTTTATAGAAAACTTGACTCCTTTCTTGGTCTCTTGGATTCCAATAAGCAGCGTTCTGTGAAAAACCTTGGTGGAATAAACTGACATTTCTTTTAAACGCATCAACAAAGTGTTAAAATGAGCTTCTGAAAGGAGACGTGTCTGCCAGCCAGTAAAACTGAACACRCTGAAGCTTACTTTGGCTCGTTTGTAGCCCTGTGTGCCAATAACACAGCAGAGATGTGAGGGCAGGAGCCAGCTGAGAGGAAGCTCCAGGAAAGAGATGTATTTCCTGAAAAGGCCGACAGTCACCAGAGACAGCAGCACGCAATCTGAGGGTAAAAACACACGAGCAGACGGCAGAAACAGACGGTTAACTAAGCCATTCYCACACACTCTGCCAAGGATTGTTTTTATTTTTTTGGTTAAGTACAAAAAAGTACTTTCTTTTCCTAATTGTTTAAAAAAAATCCCGAATCATATTATATACAGTAAACATGAACTAAGTATGAGATAATGTTTGATGGCGACAATACATCAAATGGCACTAATGCACCCCCATACCATCATAGAGGCTGGCTTTTGTACTGTGTGCTGATAACAGGCCAGATGGTCCCTCTTCTCTTTAGATCAGAGGAAACGGTGTCTGTAGTTTCCACAAGAAATAAATCAGAGAAGGTGACATTGCTGGATGATCACATGTTGCTTCTTTGCATGATAGAGCTTTAACCAGCAACTGTGTTTACAGAATGTTTTGTTCCTGAGTCCAGATACTTGAAATATTCTGATGGTTTTATGAACGGTGGATGATGGGATTTTCAATGTCTTCCATTATTCTCACATGGTTCCACTGTTTTATTTTGCAGACTATTGAAGCTCTGCTCGTCTTTTTCTTCTGACATTCAGCCTGACCTGTTATCAATTACCCTAATTAATTACAAAACATTCCTCCAGCTGTTTCTTTGTAACACTTACTTTTACAGCCTTTTGTTGCTTCTGTCCCATCGTTTTTTAAATGTGTTGCTGCCATCAAATTCAAAATAACCTCATTAAAAGGTTACAATTTCTTAGTTTGAACATTTGATATTTTTACTATGTTCTATTGTGAATAAAATATGGGTTTATGAGATTTGATCATTACATTTTGTCTTTACTGACTCAATTTTTCAGACTTGAGCTTGTGTGACACTTTGATCACCGGCCGATTAAACCTTTTTGGACAGCAGAGGGCGCCAAAGATAAAAAAATGACCAAAATGAAGCAATCTTTGCAGCAAAGGTCTGTAAACACCAACAAGAACTTTTAAAACTTTTTATTTTTGTTTTGTTTATTAACAAATTGCACAATGACTGGTGGATAGGGGCATCAGTGACCCCTGTGACCCTGAAAGGAAGAAGTGGGTTAAGATAATGGATGGATTTTAATAAATCAGACTCATCTAAAAAAAAAAAAAAACAAAACAAAACAAAACAAAAAACATGTTTCGTTTTTGTCAAACCTACCTTTGGGCACTTCTCCTGTGGAGGCCAGATGTCTGAAGAAAAACAAAATCAGAATAACTAATGTATCACTTGGGTTTTACTGTTTAGTGCATAAAATACAGCAACTTATCTGTTGTCTACTAAGTGGAGGAACTGTTGTTGCTTTCCAAGCATTTCCCTTTATGTACTTGTTGWTGATGAAAACCAAGAGAGCCAAACCCTGAGAAGCAGAGCCCTATGGGCTCCAGCCTTATGGGAATCATGAGATGTGATTTGTAGAGCTCACATAAACAAACRAGCCTCACAAACCAACAGGAAGCCAAACCAGGAAGAAAATTAAAGACCCAGAATTCCTTGAAGGAATACAAACCTCCTGCCACCTTTCATGTCAGTTTTAAGATCATCTTGCTGGTTGAACCGTAAAAATAACTTCATGTGGAATCTCATGCAAAAACCGTGAGATGTCACATTCAGAGTACGTGTTGGGAATGACTCTCAGCTACTACCATATCAAATTTCAGCAGAGTATCTGTAACTGTGACTGAGTTACAGCTGTTTATGTGTTGGCTAATGTCAATTAGCTCTGGAGGCCATCTAGAATTGGACTAATTCTAAATGTTAGCTAACTGGAGACGTACATCCAATAAGTTTATGAAAGTCTCATGTTTCGTCCACTAGGATATTTTGCTTTTGGACAAATACAAGAACTTTGTCGTCAACCCCAGAGTGTAAAAACAAAACAGCTAGCTTTAGTTTGAGTATATATTAGAGACGTTCACGCCACAAACATTTCTGTTAAACAAGAACTTTGATTTAGGCCATCAGGGTGGACTCTCCAAAGCGGAGCTGTCCCCCTCCTCAGCACTTCAGGGACAGGATTTACGACTGCTTGCTGGGACCAGAGCCCAGTGCCTCTGAGGAATCTGTTTGGATGACCTCTCAGCTATGTAACAGAGCAGTTCTGAAAAACATGCTCCATGTGAGTGTGTGCGTGGAAGAGCTGTTGTTGGGAGTCCAAGTTTTCAGCATTTTCCTGGAAAGTGTTTTCCTGTTAAGGAGCAGGCCGGTCTCTGCATTTCAACCACAGAACCCTCCCGAGGACGGCATCTCCAGGTTGTCAAATTATAAAATGAAACTGATGGAAAAAAAACTTGGAGTACCTGACAGCTTTATGAATGGCTACGTGATTGGCATGGCCGCTCACTCCTCTTCCATCGAACGTCAGCACCTGAAACAACAAAATATCTCATGATGACCTGGGTTAGAAGCAAGAATTGTCTGTAACATTTAAAAAAATATAAAAAATTAAAAAGGCTTTTTTTTCTCGGTGCATACTTGAACATGAGAGGAGGAAACAAGCCAGGAACAAAAATCAGGTCAAAGAGAGAACAGAGATCACATAATGGTGCTGCAGTAAACTTAATGTCCCAATCTTACATCATTTATAACTAACTTGTGAATTTTGAATCGATACTAAGATCAAAGGAATGCGTATCTCCCACTGAATTATTTTTATTCTTTTTAACCAGAAATTTAAACTAAGATTACCTTGTGTTGAAATTTATATTATAGCTGTTTTGTATCCAATCTCATGCAAGGCAAACGATTTATTAACATTTGGAGGAAAAACCACATCAGAGTTCAGCTCATTATATTTAGCACACTGACTTACAGCCATTTTTGTTCAGGCTAAGTTAATTAGATGTGGCGTCCATCTTGAATTACGTTGATTCCGAAAGGTAATCTCATTAAAATGTGCCCAGGGGTGCAGGATAGATTTTGCTAACAGAATGACAAGGTTGGTGCCAACAGCTAAAACCAAATTTCTAAAAAAAATGAGGCAACAATTAAAGTAGGTAGGCTGAGCTACTAAGCACAATGGCTGCGTCCTTCGAAGGACCCGGCCTAGCTTTCTATGTGGGCCGGGTCCTTTGTTGACCGCGAAGACCGGAAGAATGTAGCTATGAACTTGGACGGTCCCTGCCCTTACCCCGGCGTATGTCCTGTCACCAAGCAACCTTTATGGTGCTTTAAAGATGCAATGAAGATCAAAATTAGAAAAATATTTATATGTTAATATCATAAATATTTTAAATTAACAAAATTAGCTTATAGGCAATTGACGGAGACAAATCGTCAAGACCTTACAAGATCGTTTACGATGATTTCTGACAAGACTAACATTTAAAAGCATGTCTATGGAATTGACAAAAGCCTTACAACACAACCACAATAAACTTTAAACTTTTTTTACCACAACACAACACACAACTGCAATAAACTTTTAATTTGCATTTAAAACTATACTTCTGTCTCGTTCCGCCTCTCACTTAGCCCACCATTACAAGCAAAAAAAAATCTCCCGGTCGGTCCACAATACAAGTTTGGGATAAGGTGGGCTAAGAAGGATACACCAGATCCCCCTCAAATCAGGGTAAAGGAGGACACATGTAGGCCGCAGTTGGAGGAGCCTTCAAATTCGGGCAGCTTTCGGCGCATTGCTGTGATGTGTTCGGCCTTCAAACTCGACCTTCGAAGGATGCAGCCCCTGAATTTAGCCACAGCCAACATCTGATTTAAAGTAATGTTTGTGTTGGCTAAGGCTGGTTAGCCTTGACAGCCATCTTGAATTTATCAGTTGTAGGCGAACAGAGACATGAGTATTCGGTGGAGGTCAAAACTTTTGGGGAGTATTATTTTTAAAATTAAGAAAAGAAACCTGAACTTGTCTCGTTTCGGTGCCATTTCCTGCCTTGATTTCTCCCAACAGATGTTTGTTGGCCTGGTTGAGGATTGGAAATATTTCTGGCAGCTGACAGGATGGGAGGAGATGATGTGTTTGTTTGCCGTCTTGTTGGAGTATTCCTCCAGCATCGACCATAAAGACTTTATTTTGTCTTGCTTCTGTGCATTTCTTGCTATTTTAGTCTTTGTTGAGATAGGCTCAGAGCAAAAAAAAGGAAAAAAAAAGAAAAAAAAAGAGAAAAAAGAAAGTCGTCTGGTTCTAAATTTGTCACATTCCCATTAGCTAATCATACGGAACTGCAGTGAAGACGATAACAATCTGAGTGTAAACAGCAAAACTGGATTAGACCGTTCTGCTGCAGCAGAGGCCATTTCCTCTGGTGGTCAGGAGGCTAAAAATGCAGTAAGGGCTGGACGTTAAGAGATGTTAGCTGAAGGGGATTATTACTCTGGGACGATGAACTGGAAACCAGTAAGGCCAACACAAAACAATGAAGTGATTTCTCCCACAGAACGGAAGCTGTGCGTTAATGACAAACAGGAAATGGAACGTACCATGTTGATGGAGTGAGATGACACGTACTTCACTACTGCAGAGGAGGTTAATGAGACGCTCCACTCTGCTGAGGGATCATCTGGAAGGTTTCTGGAGGCAAAGAAGAGGCGTAGTTTTAAAAACACTATTTGTTTTCTATCTGTTAGCAAAATATGTCATGAACCTATTGTTGGACTTAAAGGAAGCCCTCAGAAAGTAATCACTGGATGTTCATCTGCCCTTTTCATTTCAAGATGGTCRCCACAGACAACTGAATTTTAAAAACACAAAAATGTTACAGAAATTGTGCTAAAATTTGACATGGTAGTATCTGAGGRGTCATTCAAAACAGACTCCAAGTGTTGCATAAGATTTTTGTTTAATATTTTAGCATTAACTGTTTAAGTCGACTCTGTTTATCAAGATACCTCATAAGCTTCTGGATTAGTTTTAAYGATGCTTTCAAAAACAAACAATAAGTTCGGAAGTTCAAGATGGCTGCCACAGCTAATCAWCATTGGCCAAGACAAAAATGGCTACAATTCAGTCAATTTTATGTTGACCTRAAATTTGATGYGGWAGTAGAGAGTCATTCACAACATATTCTGTATGTGATGCATGTTATGTTATTTAAAAGCAATAACGTCATCATTTTTTATTAAAAGATGATTTTAGCCTAAAACTCTTTATAAAAGGTGATGAGCGACATGCATGTCTTCAAGAAATGCTAGACCTTTATTTCCTATAATTTCTCAGTGTAAATTCAGAGCAGACATAAGAAAGTGAGCTTTTGYTTGGTGCAAAGATGAATGGGCACTGGAGAGGTCAAAGGTCAARAGGCAAGAAGCTTCTCCTACATGTGAAGATACAGCTTGGAGGCAACACAACAAACATGAATTTAATCCTGTGTTTTTGTTCCAGAGGCGCAAAAATGATGTATTGATTTCTTTTTCCTCTCAACGCCAAAAAAGCTCAACAGAACRCAGAAAAGTCAAGAAGGGAGATGAGCTGAAAGCCAACTGAGACTGAGATCTGAWTCTGACAAAGTTCACCAAAAACCCCGAGGCTTGAATCAGAAGTGGAGAAAAAACTGTTTTTACTTTTTRCTTTCTTGTTCCGGAAACCCCAAAGGACCTCTGTAAACCACTCTGAAGTGTTCAAAAACAAAACAAAAAATAAAAAATCAGAATAGTAGCTAAAAGATAAAAGTAGCATAATGCTAGCTAAAATAAGCAAAGGGCTAGATACAAGCTAAWAGTAACAAAATGCTTACAAAAGCTAAAACTAACAAAAGGCAAGCATAATGATGGACGTTGGAAAAGGCAATCTGAAAACCAAAAGTAACAGAAGGCTAGGTAATAGCTAAAAGTAGCAAAGCTGGCTAAATTTCTAAAACTAGCTGAACAATAGCTAAAAGTATCATAAAAGCGCCTAAAAGCTAAAAGTAACAGAAGTTGTAAAAAGCAAGTTTTGAGCCAAAATAGCAAAAAATAGCTAAAAGCTACAAAGTGCTATTTAAAAGCAGAACACAACAAAGGACTATAATGAAAAGTCTGAAGTAGCAAATGGCTAGCAGAAACTTTAAAGTAGCAACAGWTTACCTAACAGCTTAACAAAGTTAAAAATAAAAACAGGAAAACAAGAATGTGAAAGCTGACTCAGCATTCACACAACTAAACAGACMGCCATAGAGATCCACGACTCATGCTACCATGTATAAATACATATGAGTGCACAAAGTGTAGGTGCAGCATTGTGTAGCAGCTGCCTCCCTACCTTTTGTTGCTAACAATGAGGCTGGGCAGTGCAGCGTGCTYGGGGGGTGGATTAGAACCAATCTATTGGCTGCTGGTGATGTGAGGGTCAGGCTTTGAGACGAGGAGGGTGACCTACATAAAACACAGCCTCTGTGTTTGTGTRTGTCTGTGTGTGTGATGCATGAGTGAAAATCTGAAACCACATTAATACAAATCAATAACCAATAAGCTGCCTCACATAATAAAAATGTCTGAATTTGTGGCCCTAATTTACAAACCCTGTAAATGAAAGCTATTAGACACAATGTAAATGATATCACTCTCAGAGTATGTGATGTGAATGACTCTCAGCTACTACCACACCAACGTTTAGCACRGTRTCTGTAAAACTGACGGTGTTATGGCCATTTTTGTTATTTAWAATGCCAGTTGGCTGTGGCAGCCATGTTAAATTGGGTTGACTTCAAATGTTGCAAAGGTACAGTATGTGTGAAGATTACTTTTAAAAGTTTTTTTTTATTTCCAGTGATTTGCAGATATTTTGGTAACAGACAAGTTTGAATTTATAAGGACCACGTTTTAACTTCCATTCATTTCTGCAGCCTAACCCTGAACCCTTACCTTACCCCAGTACATAACTAACCCTAAACTCACACATTACTCCTGATCCCTAACACAACATTTTCATTCCACCTTATTAAGATCAGGCTTTGGTTCCCAAAAGGACTACTAGTYCTGACAGGGTAGGTGTTTATAYCAGGGAAGGTCTTCAAACAGGTAAGAAAAAACAGGTAAACACACAAGAGCACACCCAGAGGCAATCTGTCTTTGTTTTTCTGCAGCGAGTTAACTATAACTATATCAAGAATTAGCAAAAGTGCATGAATCATTTCATTAAAGTACTTCAAAATATCTGAGTTTAAAGTATTTTTTTCCTACAAGTTATTTCTTATTTACACTTTGCCTCACATCTCGGCACTGACCTGCATGAAAAAGGCAGAAAAGGAAAAAGAACGAGACACCTGACCTTTCTCAGGCAGGATGCAGTGTTAGCTTCACCATAGCAACAGTGCAAAACGTCCTAAAGTAACCTCTCCAGATCCTCTTTGTAGCTTTGCATGCGGATGTCTAATTGCTTGCAGGCATCTGTATGCATTTGTTGAACTTTGGCCCAGTAAAAGGATTGTGTGTGTGTATGTGTGTGTGTGTGTTGGAGAGGACTTGTTTAGTCTGGTCACATGGACCGCAGGCCTGTGAAACTGCCAGMCTTCTGTCCACAGGGTCAGATAATGTCCTGCTGGGAATGGCCGAGATGCCGCTACGCGCCGACAGCACGCCCACAACGAGCCACTGTAACGAGGCAGCTGCAGCTGGGGTTGCTGTGGCAACTGACACATGTTGCGTCATTATTTACAGCCGCTGCAGGTTTTTTCTTTTTTTTCTTTGMAACCACAGTAATGGGATAACAAGCTTGGGAGTAAACGGTGTTGTTGTTTTTTTTAAAGGAAGTTGTCTAGAAAAACAGGAGCATTCTAATGGAACAAAACACCGCTCGGTTACTGGGTGGAAGGATAAAAATGGGAAAAGCAACCATGTGGGTTATTCAAGGGCTGGTGTGTGCTGCTGRCAAATGTAGAGCACAAACACCAGAACATATCCACACAGTTTACTGCACCTCATTGTGGATATACAGGGGTTGGACAATGAAACTGAAACACCTGTCATTTTAGTGTGGGAGGTTTCATGGCTAAACTGGACCAGGCTGGCCAATCTTCATTAATTGCACATTGCACCAGTAAAGAGCAGAGTGTGAAGGTTCAGTTAGTAGGGTAAGAGCACAGTTTTGCTCAAAATATTGCAATGCACACAACATTATGGGTGACATACCAGAGCTCAAAAGAGGACAAATTGWTGGTGCAYRTCTTGCTGGTSCATCTGTGACCAAGACAGCAAGTCTTTGTGATGYATCARGRGCCACGGTATCCAGGGTAATGTCAGCATACCACCAAGAAGGACCAASCACATCCAACAGGATTAACTGTGGACGCAAGAGGAAGCTGTCTGAAAGGGATAGTCGGSTGTTAACTCRGATYGTATCCAAAAAACATAAAACYAYGGCTGACCAAATCACAGCAGAATTAAATGTGCACCTCAACTCTCCKGTTTCCACCAGAACTGTCCATTGGGAGCTCCACAGGGTCAGTATACATGGCCGGGCTGCTATAGGCAAACATTTGGTCACCCGTGCCAATGCCAAACGTCAGTTTCAATGGTGCAAGGAGCGCAAATCTTGGGATATGGACGATGTGAAACATGTATTGTTCTCTGATGAGTCCACCTTTACTGTTTTCCCCACATCCAGGAGAGTTCCARTGTGGAGAAGCCCCAAAGAAATGTACCACCCAGACTGTTGCATGCCCAGAGTGAAGCATGGGGGTGGCTCAGTGATGGTTTGGGCTGTCATATCATGGCATTCCTTTGGCCCAATACTTGTGCTAGATAGGCGCGTCACTGCCAAGGACTACTGAACCATTCTGGAGGACAATGTGCATCCAATGGTTCAAACATTGTATCCTGAAGGCGGTGCCGTGTATCAGGATGACAATGCACCAATACACACAGCAAGACTGGTGAAAGATTGGTTTGATGAACATGAAAGTGAAGTTGAACATCTCCTATGGCCTGCACAGTCACCAGATCTAAATATTACCAGCATCATGTAGTGACCTGGCCAATATCCTGCAAGAAGAATGGCTTAAAATTCCTGACCACTGTGCAGGACTTGTATATGTCATTCCCAAGATGAATTGACGCTGTATTGGCGTAAAAGGAGGCCCTACACCATGCTAATAAATTATAGTGGTCTAAAACCAGGTGTTTCAGTTTCATTGTCGAACCCCTGTATAAGTCAGTTATTGCTGGATTTTTTTTTACGACTACTTAATGTATATTTAAATAACATATGGATCACTGTGATTATGTGCAGATATGAACCAAAAAGCTTGTGAGAAGATKTTTGTGAAAATCAGAGGCAGCAAACAGTAAAAGTCAGACAGATCTGAAGTTGAGCGAAGCTTCGGTTCRGTCTGAAGAGATGGAGCGGTGTGCAGTGAGCAGCTATAATCAAGTCCTGCGAGCAGACAGAGGTCAGGCTTGAGCAAGAAGAGAAGCAGCAGAGCGTGCTCGGATTGATTTTGATCACAGAGGGCCCCACCAGGCGCTGGGGGCCCCAGACACTGTGAACACAGCTGTCCTACTGGGTGAGCATTAAACTCCTATTTTAAAAACAGAAGTCAYGTCTTATTTCTGTCACCTTGGGAAAGGGCTGGTTTGTTGGCATAAACTGTAACAACACTGCCCTGATCTTCAACACCATGAAGAGCAGAAACACACTAACTAATGATGGTGTCGATGCTGACTTTTCATAGTTCAGCTCCGTCTGCTGTTTGCAGAACAGTTATCAGGTCGGCCRCCAAGTTCAAGGCAAATATTTTCATGTAAAACCTTTCAGGTTTTCCTTCCTTGGACAGAGTCAAAATCAAAAAGGTCAGCTCTTCTGGCCAGYAGCTCACGTTGGGACTCTGCCTTTGGCTAAAAATATCATCTGTGTGTTGGATTAGACTTTTCATAGGTAATAAAATACATGTTTAGACAAATATCCCAACACTTTGGCGCATATTTTTTGATTCTCTTCATGAAAAACAGCGTAAATAATAAAAAATATGGGATTTGTCATTTTTTCTGTCATTGCTGGTAATAAAAACAGGGGTGTACTTGAACAGGATCGGTTCGTTTTAATGCCAGAGTGTGGCCGTCCGTCCATGTTCAGGCACAAAATGAGAAAAACAGTTCAGAGTGACCTACATTAGCAGTGTGTGTTGCCACAAAGTATCCCACAGCTCTTGGCAGTTTCCATCAGCAGACGTGGACATGGGGATGAAGAGGAGGGGTAAAATGCAGGGAAGAGTGTGCGTGGGGATGGGGTGGGGGTAGTTGGAGTGYGCTTCTCAAAGTGCTGATTAAGGTGTGTGTTTCAGGCAAACAACAAAATACAAAGAAAGGGAAAGTGGGCTTGACTCCAGTTCAGCAGAAGTGCAGACAGATCTGAGAGCAAAGTTCAGCTGTATTCTGTGTGCACAAGATGATAAAAGTGTGGAGTCTGCACACGTGTGCTTAAGTTCACACGCACGCACAAACGCAACAGTCTCTGGGGCAGACAGTCTGGGCACGCTGCCAGCTTATTACTGCGAGCTCCAGGTTAGTGTCAGAGTTCACGCAGCTCTCCTGGTGAGCCAACATGTAGAGACTCACACCCAGGAAGCTCCTCGCTTCTTCGAAACCTGAAACATTTTTAGATGATGGAAGAAACGTTTGATCCACCGGAGGGAAGGGAAGAAAAACTAACTTTTTTTTATCCATTCCATCTGTTCTCGTATGCTTTCTATTTGCAAGTTAAAGCATGACTGTAATAAGATTGTTTTTGACATGATACCCGTTTTAATGTGTCATCCTTAATTCGCCTAAAACTACTTTAAGGTGTGTCTGCAGCCACTTTGGATCACCTGACACTGTTGAACAAAAAAACGTCGGCAGCAACAAATAAGTAATTTTTTTAAGTCACTGCAGGCTATTGGAGAAAGATGGACAAATAATTATTCCTATAAAATGATATTATTAAGACTTCTTAAAATTTTCCCCTATAACACACACGATTTACTTCCTTTATGATTCAGAGAAAGTACATGAGGCTAGGATAGATCAGGTCTGCTTTAGAGGTGAAATGAAATGAGGTGATTTGTAATGACAGATACTGGGCTCTGAGAAAAAAACATTTTATCTTTAAGGGCTTTTAGCTTTAAGCAAGAAAGGTATGTTGTTTTTGTGGTTGTTGGTTTGTTTATATTTGAACATGTTTTTCTAGTTTTGTTTTACCTTGTGGTAGATTTCCCAGCATCTACTTGAGTCATCAACCATTCCTGCCCACATTTAACCTCTCACACCTGCTCCTCATATTCAAGAGTCTCAGTAATAATAATAATAATAATAATAATAATAATAATAATGCATTTTAGTGCCTTTCAAGACACCCACGGATACTTCACAACATTAAAACCAATACGGAGTTTCAATTAAAATAAAGCATATTAAAATTAAAAAATAGAGGTAGCTAAGAAATTAGAATGAGAAGGTGAACCTGAACAGATGAGTTGAGTTGTGATTTGAAGATTGAAATAAATTCAATATTATGGATGTCAGTGTCCTTCCTCCCACCCTACTAAAACTCCCACTTCTCTTCCACTTATCAGTCTGTCTGTCGTTTGATTTGTTTTGTGTAAATGTTTGAATCCTTCACTAAAATTGCTTCACCAAAAGGCTGATCAAAAGCTGCCTTTTTATTTATTTATTTATTTTTATTTGGTGCATCTGATTCCGTCTGCATCTTTAGGTCATCTTTACATTTTTCTCAAGACGTAAGACATCTGTTGCCGCTGATGTGGTCCCGAGACGTTTTCTTTTCTTGCATGGACATTTTATATTCAGAAAGAAGCAAAGCGAAACACCAACACAGCAGCAGCACGGCTTGGCGGAGTGGATGTTCATTTTTAGTTGATGATACAGCTGAAGGAGGAAGATCCTGTATTTCTGTTGATAACTAAGAGAAAGCACTAATTTGGACATTTGGAAACCATTTTACTATATTTCAAAGTTATACTGGAAGAATTGTAAAGACGGCTGAGCCTCACTCAGCTGCTTTTCAGCTGAAGCGAAATGAGAACAGTGGAGTTCACCTGCTTTCCTGTATAGACACGCCCACAAAGTTCTTACTTATCACACTTGGTGAATACTCCTGTGAGAAGAACATTCTGCCAGGGGCACAGAACGAGTTCTGGCAATGCCTGCTACATCAGCAGAGCGTAATCTTCATCACACAGCTACTACAAAGAGTGACTTGTRAAGTAGAACACAGCATTTACTCGCTGCATATCGGACATGTGAGTTGTTAAAAAAAAGACACTGGCAAATGAAAAAAAAATCAAAGGCACTAGTGTGTTTTAAAAGTTACAGACTGTTGCACGTATGTTGCAGACAGATGCTTACCTGTGGTTGATTATGGTGACTCTGGAGGCTGGGATTCCCAACACGGCACAGCTGCTCAGAAGTTCTCGTCTTCTCTGAGCTCCTTGGTTGTAGTAGTTTCCTGCACAACATTTAAAGATTTAGCTACAAACAATTACACTGAAAAGAAAACACATGCATCCTCTCTGGAAATATTAATATTTATCAGTAGTAGATGGTTGAATCTAGATTAAATATATCAATACTGACATGTTTAAATAGCTTCATTACTAAATAGCTACATAAATAGCTTCTTTTATTTTGTTCTTGCAAAAATCAAGCATATTATGTTGAATATTATTTCCATAAGTCTTGCTTAAATGTGCAAATTTGTTAGAATTTTGATGAAACTGAAGGGATCCATCTTTTTGTGCACTACTTGAAGCTAAAACTAAAAACTAACTAACATGAGAAAGAATCCAGCATGTGCATAGTATTTTTCATAGTTTTACACACTGCCGATGTTGTGTACAACGACAGAAATGTCCTGTCACCATACCTTCCGATAAGCACAGCAAATGAACAGTGGCGTTGCTTTCAACCAGYCGTATTATGGTTGGCGCGAAGAACATGCATTCATCATCCGGGTGCGCAGTCACAACCAGAGCCCTGACGTCTGTTTCTCCGTCTGATGAAATATTCATCACATGTTTTAGCAAGTTCACCGAACTGCGACGGTGTTGGTAATAAATCCATTTTATCCAAGCCACATAGGCTAAAACTAGTAAGATAACAAGGTAAAGAGACATTATTTTGACCGTCACCGTAACCATTCCGTGTAAGGACACGAATCGGACGAGTTAACGGTTCCGGGTACTCAAAAGTAAGTTTTACTTCTTCTTAAAAAAATAAAATAAAAATAAATAAATAGTAAAAAAGCACCCAAAATTCTTCAGTTCTTCGATTTTGCACACATTATTTGCTAAAAATATTTTTTGTCGCTTGATTACAGTCACTTTTGCCCCGCATTCACCTACTTATCAAGAAAATGGTTAATGTAAAAATAAATAAATAGTAAAAAAGCACCCAAAATTCTTCAGTTCTTCGATTTTGCACACATTATTTGCTAAAAATATTTTTTGTCACTTGATTACAGTCACTTTTGCCCCGCATTCACCTACTTATCAAGAAAATGGTTAATGTAAAAATAAATTCATTAATGTAAAAAAACGTATGTATGATTTAGTAAAAAACGTCTCAAAATTCATAATTAGAAACACTGTTAAAACAGGTAAAAAAKAAAGTAAAACGAGTCTATCTCTTGATTTTAAAAGTTAATATTTTCATTACAGATATTAGCGTTTGGGGGAAAGGTTTAGACGTTACACTGCATTTTCCTGGCCGATATATAAAAACAATATTACACTTAAAAATAAAAAATAAAATAATAAAAAAATAATACCCATGATTTGTTAAAATATTTATTTATTTAAACAGTTTAGCTGTACATACAYATTTATTAATTTCTAGAAATTCAGTTTAGCGGAAGCATTATTTTTCTCTGTCAGGACATCGACCGACAAATGCGGCGCAGCCTTTAGTCTGCTCAGTCCTTCTCAGCCCACAACCCGCGGATTTACAATCAACTATTCACACAGATTATCGCCCTGGGACACATTTCTTCCCAATCTCGGACCACTTCAAATATGCGGTGAGTACGAATCGTTTATATGCAGCCCATCCACGGGTTTGATGAGCACTCCGTTTAAACGACTCGGTCTACGCTGAAAATCTGCCTTGCAAGATGGCGACGTGGTTGAGAATTCAAAGGTGAAATAGAGGCTGGGTTAGGCAGCGAGCTACAACTACATCTTAAAAATGTTCTCTTCTCACGGTAAACTGCTCACATAGCTTCTTTATTTAAGTTGACGTTTGCTGCTGTTCACGTTTGCGGAGATGCTGCCTGTTGTGGAAATACCCCCCCCCCCCATTAAAAATATGCTATAAATCTAGTTTTGWTTATGTAATGTTATGGCATTAAAATTAGAACAAAACATCAAGTAGCTCCATTTTTATGCTGTTTATTTCCAGATAGCTGCTGTGTTAGCATGTAAGGAGACTGTGAATGCTGCACTTGATTGTAGCTGAAGCCAACAAAGGTATATAAATATATATATATTTTATCTCCCAACTTTGCACCATTTACCCTTCAAAACACATTTAAACTGTTTAAATGGTGTCTGGAAGAAATATTAGGTCGATGCAGTGGAAAGGGGTTGATTGTGGACAACCAGGAAGCGATGTTATATACTTWAAAAATAATAATAATAACCTTATTGAAAATATACACAAGCCAAAACTAAATGCACTTTATTTTAAATACATTAACCAGGAATTTGTCAACAAATTAAAGAAGCAGATTAAAGCAAACCTGGAAGGCCATGGTTAGGTCACATCAGGTTATTGGGACATTACTGCCATGAGAGCTAATTGTTAGCCTTCTTGGACGATTGCTTATAAATAAAGGATAAAAATGCAATGATGTTTGCTTAATTGTAGCTGGTGTGCATTTAAAGAGGTCCTCTTATTTAAAAAAAAATCAAAATAATACAGTATTTATCATGAAAATGTGTAAAACTTTTACTGGAAGATTATAATCTTCATAGCAGCAGTTTCAGCCTGGATTGTAAAAGTTTGCATTTTGAAAAATAAGCATTTTTTTTCTATTCTTGAAGCATCAAACAATATGTGGCAGATTAGATTAGGTTGGTTGTTGTTAAATGTTTTGAGCTAGATTATGAGCAAGTTGGGATGACACAGCTTTTATATTAACAGTAGGGATAGTTACACTAACTTGATTCCTCATGATATAGTTTCAACATCAACATGTTAATATTGCTACAAGCAGGAATGGCAAACAAACATAACATCACAGTTTCAACTCTGTGCTTTACTTCTTTTAGGCATTTTTTAAAGGGTTGTTAGATATTAGTTGCAAAAATCATTTACGCTTTTCTTTCTGTTTTAGACAAAGCCAAACCTACAGTAAAATGAACAGGTTACAGAACGCAACATCAACAAAAACGACAAAAAACACGGGTACTGACCGAGTTGCACTCAGGAGGTCAAGAACTGTTATAACGCAACATTCGTCTGCCACAGTTCTGGAACCACACAATGCACCACTCGGCCTAGATGAAAAATGTTGGCCCACATGTGGTTTGCCGGAGGTGGTCCATGCATGGGCCAGCRCCACATAAACTAAACCACAACTGGGACAGTTATGAAATGCCATCTTAGAAATTGTGGCATCATTGCCAGAGCTGGCCCACATCTTGTTGACAAACCACTTGCCATGCCAGCAGTCAGCCAGCAGTGCAGGAAGCTTTTGCAATATTTTTAGTTTTTACCTAAGCAGTTTTCTTAACATACTTGTTTTTAGGCTGTGTTAGAAAAACTAGACTACCTAGTAGGGCTGCACAAAATTTCCCGAATATATCGTAATCGTAATAACAGTGTGAATAATATTCATATCACAAAGGACTGCTTGGATTGTAATAATTGTTGACTGATGTATTTGAAAAGTTTKAAGTTGTATTTTTCATGTTAATGCAATAATTAGTCAGTAGGACAGAGTCTCACGTCTGCACAAGCTCCCACCAGACACAAATGACATTGCTAAACATGCTAAAGGTCACATAGAGTAAGAAGTACAGATTAGAAAGTGTGGAAAGAAAAGATAAAAGGACATATATCGCAGCTGATATCGTCATCACAATATTTACGAATCTTATCGCCATCGCAAGACTTTAAAATTGTGCAGCCCTACTAACTGGAAGTGGTGCAGTTTTGTCCCTTGAATTTTAAAGATGTTAAAAAAAAATGCGTGCGACAAATTTTGTCTCAAAATTGTCACGGATTCAATGCCGACATCTCAAAACCATTCTGATTTTGTTGCGGGCACCTTTAACCCGTCTTAAGAACTGTATTTTGACACGTGCACTGGAGCTTTCCTCTGACAGAAGACATTTCCAGATCTAAATGCCAATGAAATTATGGTTACAGCTTTGAATACAGTTTTACATGTTGAAATAAAGCTACGTTTTTAAATAAGGTCATTTTCAAAATTTCATGGCAACAACATCTCTAAAACGTGGCTCCAGGTGCATGATTCTTGCGGTGAATCATCCCCTCTTCTTTTCACAAAAGACCACAAATATCTAGGAACTGAATAGACCAGTTAGAGTTTTTGAAAAAGCACTGTTGTCCCATTTTTGTCTATTGTAGAATCTTAGCTGTTCCACAGTYCTGGGCCTTTTCATTTCATCGTGTGCCAAATGTTTTTAATTGGTTAGAAGTCTGGAATGCAGACAGGACAGTTCAGCACCAAGACTCTTCTACTACGAAATCATGCTGTTGTAACAGATCCAGTTTGTGGTTTAACATTGTCTTGATGAAATATGCAAGGCCTTCCCTGAAAAAAGATGTCTGGGTGGGAGCACTAAAACCTGTAGAAACTTTTCTGCATTAATGGTGCCTTTCCAGATGTGTCTGTTGCCCATGTTATCAGTACTACTAATACACCCCTATACCATCAGAGAGGCAAACTATGTACTGATGATGCTTTTATTGGTCCTTTGCCTTTTTTGCTGCAGAGGATGTGATAACTGTAGCTTCCAGAAAGAATTTTAAATTTTAATTTCTCTGAACACGGTACAGTTTTCCACTTTAGATTAATTTGTTTTAAATTAGTTTTAACTTTAGTTAAATTAGTTTAAACAGAATTTGTGGACGGCATTCACATATGGCTTCTTCTTTACATGATAGAGCTTTATTGGAGATTTGTAGATGGTAGGGTGAACTGTGTTTACAGACAGTGGTTTGTTGTGGAACTGATGTCCAGAACAGAATCAGACCTTTTTATTGCAGAGCCTGATAACGAGTATCCAATACTGATTGTCTTATTATATCAGAAAAACTGTCACCAATCAACATTTGACACTTTGCAATAAAGGCTTTTTGGAAAACCTGACAATTTACCTTTTTGACTTGATTGCTCAAATATGTAATAAAATGTTCATGAATGCACAAATAAATACAGATATATTTTTGCTGGATCCAGTTAAACAGCAGATTTTTCTAAAAAATATATAGACGGCTTTGCATTTAGTATTATTTGCTGTAAAATAATGTTTTGGACATTTGGATGTGGGGTTCTGTGGAAATACTATAAACTCTCATACTGCACTGTATTTTGCTCTTTGAACTACTTTTGTTTGGCAAAATAGGCTTTAATTTTGGCAAGACTGACAAGCCAACAAGCGCTAACAAAGGATCATGTAGTGCAGGGGGTTCTCAAACCTTTTGGGTCTGAGGACCCCTTACAAGTGTGAAATTGCAAATACTGCCTTCCTGAAATTTGGTATGCTTGTTTGTCTTTGTGTCTATGGTGTATAATGATGTGATTGTGATGCTGTATTTCTGAGTGTTTTA